ACTACATCTCTTCTAGAAAGTCATCAATCCTTAGTTTGAAGAAAACAGCAGTTAGAGCATTTCCTCTTGAGTGTTTCGCTGTTTATGCACACAGTTTCCAATATACATTTGCCTAACATCAGCCTGTGGCCAGTGGCTCTTACCACAGCTCTTCTGTGCTAGTTGAAAGTCCCTTTTCCATTCAGCATCTCCCAAGATTTTCACAATTTTTTTCACAAATTGACAACAAGAACATAGCTGAGTTTCTTCAGCTTTCATTCAAACACCATTTTCTCAGTCTACAATTACTTCCAAAGTTCTTTTCTACATACTTTCTATTTTTCAATATCTATGTCTCAAAAATGTTTAGGGTAGAAATATTTTTAGGCTTCCATTGTTGATCTCTCCTGAGCCATAAATAAAAGCAGAGTGAAGCCGGGCTCCTATTCACTACTTCCTTTATGCTATTTTCCCTTTCTTCCTATAGCATCAGTGGGACACTCCTGCTGAGTTGCTGGTTTGTTATGACCCCAAATTCTTTACAGACAGACTCACTGCTTGAGATGTTTTCTTCATTGCTACCTACTGTATTTCTTCCTCCAGCATATGCAGATTTGTATTTTTCTGACTGAGAACACTGCTCTAAAAATATTTATGCTTTCAAGTTTGTTATATTTTTCATTAGTCCCAAATCTCTGATGATTAAATTGAGAAGGTCAAGACTGAGCAGCCCCTCTTTCTAATGCCAAGCCTTTGCTAATCACTTTCTTATGCATGTTTGTTAGCCAGTGCTTAAACTGGTTAAAACACGCTTTATTGATACTGTGTAGTGCTATATTTTTAATTAGAATATTGAATGATGCTAAGTCAAAAGGCACACAAAAGCTGAAGTTTATTATATCTACATCGTTACCTTTGGCAACCTAACTTAAAATCTCATCAAAGAACAGAAGTAGATTTGTTTGACAAGGCTTATTTTGCACAGAACTATGTTGACTAGCATTAATTATATTCCTATCTTTTAATAATTTATTAATTGAATCTCTTTCCAGTTTTCTTATTATTTCTCATGGGACTGATGGTGGGCAAAGCAGCTTGGGAGTACAGATATCACCTGTTTGCCCTCAGTGGAACGCCAAAGAAGATGTAGCACTGCTGCTTACTGGAAAATCAGTGACATTCTTCATGCCTCCTTTAGGTCCTCTAAATATGTCCTCTTTCTTACTTTTGACATGCTACGTATTCCTTTACTAGCAGAAGAAAAATCCCATCAGAAATTGTTGAAGGCCTAGTTATGCCATTGTGCAACATATTAGAAACAAAAGTAAACTTAGAGTGGCTGTGGGAAAAGATGTTGCACAAGTCTACCACAGTTTTACAACATGATGATGTGTGCTCGAGTTAGAAAGAGCAATTGAAGAAGTTTGAATATGCATCTGAAACTCTGGAAAGTTTTTGTTCCCAGAACAGGCTTGTCAGTGAGGTGTAAAGTAGAAATGGGTACAGTCAGCTACATGTGCATTGGGATCTTTTTCTGGATTACAATAGCCATCTCAGAGTGTTCATTTCTGTTTCAGCTTTGTGGAATTGGTGGAGTTATATTTGGCTTAGTGTTGGATGGTTTTGGCTTCCTTCCTGCTTGATGTTTCTGGTTCTGAATAGACTTTAAATTCATTGTGATTAGGAAAGCCAGGTACTAGACAACAGGGGTGCCTAGGAGGGAGTGGATAATCTATTAACCATTAGATTTTATGCTGTCCTTCACTCAAATAATCTGAAATAATGATCATTTTAAGTACATGGCCACAGCAGCTCCAAGAGGGGAAGCAGCACTACATCTACACAAATTCATCAGCTTGTTACGTCTTGCACGTACGACAACAGCAGCACTTAGCAGGAAGGGCCAGCTCACTGACTATACCTAGAGCCAGAACAGATGTACTAGTAGGACTTCCCCAGAAAAGTTTTGAAAGCCTGTGAGGATGAAGATGCCACAGCCTCCAAGGATAATGTGTGCCAGTGCTTAGCCACTCCTTGTGGAGAAGCTGAAAATTAAGTCAATGTTTAATGTTTGCAATTTTGGCAGTAGTTTTTAAAAAGAATTTATGTCATCTGAACTTTTCAGAAAATATAAACTGAAACTTACCTTAATACCCCTGATAAAAGATAATAGAAGTCATCCAGCATCCCAGTGGAGAATAAACCAGTCATACTTGGAATGTGACACAGGAGTATTGGGTTTTATAAAATTATGAAGATTTGAGTTTCCTATTTCACACATGTTACATGGGAAGTTTTAAGAGTAATTTCTATGTTTTGAGAGCTTTACTTGCAATATTAATATTCCTTTGTCATAGTATGAAATTTTCCTCTCCCAATTTTTTATTATACAATAGTATGATTAGAAAAAATAGGTATCATGTTCTGCTTTGTCTTTACGTCTTGGTTTGATTTTAAAAAGTACTTTACTTATTATTAGCAGTAACTTCTAAGACTTATTTAGAAAATATGAAGATGATCAGGGATGGAAATTTTGAAAATCAGGGCATGGATCCATTTTTAACCTCAAAGATTCTACTTTGTAATGACTGTAACTGGCACAGTAAAAGGGTGGAGAGATTTGCAAAAGCATAGCAACAGATCCTATTAGCAAAGTTTAATTTTTTTTGCTTTTGTAAGTTCAGGACAGTTCTTAGAAATTAGTTGATTGTCTTTCACAGATTTTCCCTTTGCCCAGTGGGATAGCTCTGCAGTGGTTCACTAGGAAATCAGGCTGCCACTAGCAATCTGAGGTCCAGGGAAAGCAAAAAACAAGCTATTGACTTTTCAGCAATCTTCCTGTCACAGAACTCACTTCCTTATTAAAATGCTTTATTAGAAACAAGTTTAAATCAAGGTAGTATTTATTCTGGACACTGCAAGTTTCTTATGTTTCCTATTTCATCTGAAGATATATGGTATTCTGGATGTTATGCTTCAGGTAGGCCTGTAGCAATTCTAAAGCAGAAATTCATTGCTCACTACAGAGTGTTCATCAGCTTATTTAAGATAAAAAATTATTTGGGGAGAAATTCAATTGTAGCCCATGTGTTGATCCCATTCCCATTTACACCACATGAAGAAACTGTGTTTTCAAAGGTGTTGCAGAGTTCTGCACTGCTGGAAAAGAGATATTGATCAGTTTAGGTACTGCAGAGGTCTGGGTAGTGGTCATTTTGCGTGGACTTATTCAGTGACCCTTGAGTCCAGGGTAATCACAAATTGTCTGTGGATGCTTCTGAAACAGCAGCAAAAAACAAGGTTACACAGAGAATCCCTGCTCTGGCCATCCAATGGGACATATTTGTTTTCCCTTAGCACATTAGATTTTGCCCAAGACTGATACGCTGGTTAAACTGGTATGAAGTAGATTTTGTCTTTGGATTATAATTTAAGAAACTGCTTGAGTGTCTAATTTTCTACACGAGCTTAAGTATGAAGGAGTAAATAAATATATAAATATCTGAATAATTTGTTATGGTTTTACATGTATCTTCACACATGATAAATCAGGAATTAAACTAACAGTGCATTATACACTTTCTAAAACTAACACAGAGGTCTAAATTAAGACAAATAATATCATGATTTAAGTAAATCTCAAATACACATGTAATTTTTACAAACTTACATGGTATGCATACCTTCTTAACATAAATTAGGAGAAAATTCAAACTGTGTATTTAAGATTTTATATCAATATTTTAATGGAATTTTATTTAATAACTTTAAGGCATTCATCAAAATAATTAATATTATATTCATTACTGCAATGGGTTAATCTTTTTTATATAATTAGAAAGTTAGTTTAAAGAAACATAATTAAAATTATTTTAGCCATGCCACCATAACATGATTAAAAATAAAGTAGGTACTGCAATATTGTACAAAAATATAGCTTATTCAAATGCAAACTGCTTTTATGGGCTGTTTATCTCTGCTTATGTGTATTGGAGGAATCAGAAAGCAGTTTGTTGAAATTACTGATTTTTTTTCTTTGAAGAAAAAAGGTCTGCAAAGGAGGTTTTGCTATTATTTACAAATATTAATCATGCTCATACAGAGACTACTTGAGAAAAATTTATTATGAGACATTTGTGACCAGTCATGCTATAGGAAGAGGAGAGAGCCACAGGGCTGAAATGACAGTAAGGTTTGTGTATGCAGTGCTCCTCTGGTAGTTAAATTGCAGGAATGTGACATTGATCTGAAATGGGAGCTATTTGAAGTAGCAACTGTCAATCTCTATAATCAAAGGATGGCCCCAAGTCAATTAACCATTTTGGCATGACCACTTAGTTTGTAAAGTCCTATCAACTCAAAAAGTGATCTGTCCCGAGGAGGCATTTCAAGAAGTCTACACAATTTGCAGACAGTGAACAGTCATTCAGGACTATAGCTTGGACTTGGTTGCAAAAGTACAGCAATGCCTCATGTAACTGACTCTACTAATTACAAGGTGAGACAAATGTGGATTTAGGTGTGAGTGAATGTCTGCTGCTGTTGATAATAATTGAAGTTGGATTATATTTTATTGTATTATATTTATTGGCTAGATTATATTTTTCTTCATGCATTTGTTTACTCTTTCATGTACAAAAAAAGTAAATACATTGTGATATTAATTTTAGAGTACATATATGCTTGTAGATTTGATTGTAGTAATCTCAAGAAAGATAATTTTTAAATTAGAAGAGAAAAATGTGTAGCATATTTCTGGTCTTTTCTCAGGATCGTGGTTATCTTTTCTAATTATGTTTTTCTTTATAATTATTCAGAGGGTTTGTTCAGCTGTGTAAGGGGAAAATGGTATACAAATAAGATATGTGTGTGTAAAACTGAAAAAAAGATTAAGGTTATTAATTCTATCCGAGTGTTATTAAAACTGAATCTATTGTTTTGAAGTACTTTAAAGTAAGCATATGGGCAAATACTGATACCAGCAACTTGAAAATTCAGCAATTATTTCTATTCCTCCCCAGGTACAAACACACTTGGAAAATCAGTCTAGATACCACATACAGCAGAGCCAGAGGCATCAAGTGAAGCAGTACCTGACCCTCGACACCAAGCTGTCCAGCCAGACACTCTCCCTCTCCCACTCTCACACAATCCAGCCTGTGGGAGTGACCTCCATTCTCAGAAACGGACACATGCCTCCAGTCAGCGATATTGGCACACCTGAGAGCCCCGTTACCAAGCTGCTGGCCCTTGGGGGCGAACACGAAAATGCGGTAGGGCAGGGCCGGTGAAAGGAAAGGGGAACTGGGCTTTGTCTGCTTCTACAGAAACGTCACATGACCCACCTTGTACTAGTAGTGGGCAAGAGATGACTTTCTTTACTTTCATGGGGCCTTTGGTTACAGCACTTGCTTCCTGTATCCTTTTGGATTACGTGGGTTATTCCCTTGAATTCCTGTGCATAGCTTATTGTGTGGTCAAGTTTTTAAGCTGCTGTCATCTAAAATGTACTGTTGCATCTTTTTATGTAAGCATCATATGTTGCTGTATGTTTTCTGAATATGGACTTTGCAAAGGAAATTTTTTTTTTTCAGATGAGAGTTATTTCTATCTAAAAGTATTATTCTAGCTGCATTAAAAAGTTAAATACTGATTACCTTCAAGATGTAACTGAAAGAATCACTCATTCATTTTTCAGTTAGCTGATACATTTATATACAGGTTTTCTTGGGTAAATTGGTATATATATGCTAACTTTAATGCCACCATCGACTTTAATAGACGGGCAGCTATTGTACAATATCACATTCTCAGCCAGTGTGAGATGTAGATCATTACGTCCTTTAGTACTTCAACAGATTTCAAATGAGACTGCTTATTAGATAAAGAGGGAATTCCTACAGAAATGAGAAATGGAGATGTGTATTACATCTTGGACTCTAACAGAATAGAAGAATCTTACAAATACATTGTGACTCATTTGAGCATTTGGATGTTATGCAGCTAAGCACGAGGGAGCTGAAAAAACCCACAAAGCTTCCTGGAGAGCTCTTCTGGGACCTCTCCATTCCTTCTGCATTGACAATTGACATTTTAAGCCAGGTTTATGAACTACTGGAGCTACTAGTCTGCAAAGATTATTTTAGATGGCCTTTGTGGAGGCCTCTATGGTCACCTCTGTGCTGGCAAGTGCAGGGTGCTGGAACCACTGTCAGGTATTTTAGGTATCTGACCAGGAATAACTGGAGACTACCCTTGTACCACTCTCTGTCCTGGCAAGGAAGATGTCCACTTGTAAATCCCTCTCCAGGCCTGTGCCTGGTGAAGACCGGGAGAGTGACAGTTGGCACAGGCCAAAATTCTCATGGGCATCTTCTCCATGATTTGAATAATCCCATCCCAGAGCCTCAGGGAGATGACTGGCACAGTGTAATTTCCTAATGTGGATGTGCCTTGTGGTTGAGAGTAGGCTAGTGTTACATTAGTAAATAATATAGAGCCAACACCCTGGTGGTGCACTAAACAGTAGTCATTCCTATTGTCTCATTGCCGGCATTTCGTGTCATCCTTTTGGCCCTGACAATGCTTTCCTAGGTAAGTTTGGGCACAACTCCTGGCAGAGCACTCCTCTCGTTTTAGAGAGTAAGGGGACTGCATGTATGAGCGGTGCTGGGCCATGTGGCCTAAAAGTCTGTGTCGAAATGTCTCATGTCTGTGTGATACTTTCTTTTGTTGCATAGGACTCTCTATACTTCCATCAGCTCCCAAGAGCTGCAGATAGTAGAGTTAACACTGACATGTTCAGCATGGGATCTTTCCCAAAGTTATTTTTGTGAATGGAACCAGACCAAAATTATCATTGAAAACTCATGCTGTACTTTGTCCAAATCGGTATAAGTCTATAGGTCTGCAAACTATTCACATTTCACCCCAAGTAGTTAATGAGTTATTCCATCTGCTTCAGTAGTTTTTGGCAAAGATTAGAGCAAAAATGGAAGCAGAAGACTTCCTGGAAAAGTATCCATTGTAAACACAACACAAACCTCTGCCTGCTGAATCTTGAGACCAGCGTGTAACAATAAACCTTGAGTGACTCACACTCTTGCAGAACCACAGGTTCCTTTCAGCCCTCCTGCACTATTGCAGCAATGCACTGTGGATATGATGAATTTGATCGAGACGACAGGTCACAGTGACAACTTAGCAATGCACTCCTCTCATCTGGTCATGGTGTTGCAATAAGGGGTTAAAATAGGAGAATGGGCTGGTACTAAGAGGAAAGATGTGACTTGTTAAACCACAGATGTTTTCATAACAAGTAAAAAATGTGAATGTTGTGTAGAAGTTTTTGAATTATTTGAATTTTAAGATATAAACTTCTAAAATTCGGTTTCATTGATGTAATAAATACTCAAGATTAATTCCTCTGTATTTTCAAAATAACTTTTTTCCATTATTATTTGTAATGATTTCTCTTAAAATATTATTTTATCAGATGGAAGAGGTGATTGAAGACATAATCAATATGGAATCAAATTTTAATGATGAAGGCATAGGTTGTTCTGAAACTCCTTTACTAATGCAAAGAACTGTAAGTATTTTGTTGAATTTTGTCTTGCTGTTTATACTAGAAAAAAATATTGAGTGATTTAAACACATCACAGTTCAGAAACTAAGGCATAGTGTCAGTGGACTGTTCTCCTTTCTCTTCAGTTCATCCTTTTGTTATGAATATTAGAAAAAGGGCTTCAGTGTGGTGTGACACAGTTGTTTTAAGTGGTTTGAATAGCATTTAAGGTTCTAGCCCAGCAAAAGATCTGGTACATAAGCCATTGGAGTTATTAATTCCTATGCAGGACTATGGATAAAAGGAGTCTCTGGATCGTAGAAGCCCTTTTAAAGTCTTGCTGAAAGATCCTGATACCTCAACTAAAACAAAAGTCAGAGCTTCCCCATGTAACAGTTTCTATGGCACAGTGTCTTATGCTGAAGAAAAGATGGGGTCTAGTTCTTGATTTTCATAAAGACAAGCTGCTTTTAGTTGAATAAATTCAAGGAAAAATAACAGAAATGTAACTTTTCAAATGAAGCACTTTATGGGAATTAATGTAACAAACTTTATTTTGTAATGTCTTTTTGTAAAGGAATGGCAGAGGACTAACCAAGGCTACTTATGTTTCCATAAGTGTTACATATTTGAAGAGGAAGGATGGACCTCTTCTGGACACAACAACAAAAGAGCATTATTATTTATGAAAGTAATACCTACAATAACTGTAATGCACTTTATAGAAGGGTGTACTCTGTCCTCTCACCCCTAATTTATTTTGGGAACTATTTGTCCTCAGGACTTTAAAAAGTACACTGATATAGGGAAACTTTACTTTGGTGAAGGTAGAATGTGTTTCACAGGCTTTGACAATCTACCAAGTTAATTTCAAAACACGGCGTCAGGTGCTTGCTCTTAATCACTCTCTGGAGGAACATCTTTTTCTGACTACAGAACATCACTGGCTACAAAAATACCTTAGGAGATAAGATGTCTTCTGCTCTATGTTACCCACTACACAGTCCAGTATTGATGCCAATTAATAGTTCCATGAACACCTTATATTCGCATACCAGCTAGAGCACTAATACAGCTGGACTGATTTATACATATCTCAGTACAGAACATAGCAAAGAAATGCCTCCTGGGACTGAATTAGTATTTTGGCTCAAATTAACGTGAGGCAGGGGAGGATTCTTTCAGGTGTGGTACTGTGGGATGGTGATGAGAGGCATCCAAACTGGGGTTTGGATTGAAGTCATACTCCCTCAATATCTTTTAAAATTGGATGATGTTAATCTATGCTAATTCCAGGCTCATTAGCCTTTATCTTCGGCCATGAAGGACATATCTCTCTAAAATATATTGAATATCCTATGCAATGACTTTTAGGCCTTGCTGATATTGTATTTGCAAAGATTTGGGACTCCTGCAGTGCCTCTGGTCCAAGTAATGGTACTTGGATTTTTGTTTATGCTGAGGAAATCATCAGGCTGGCAGGTAAGCTGGGGAATAGCATGCATTTCCAAATCTCTCTGTTCAATACTTTGGCAAAATAAAGCCTGCCTTCAACAAGACAAGTGAACTGCACCAGTGTGGAACAAATTGAGCAGTACCTCTGCCTCCTCTATGTTGTCTTTTGGCATTGTGTACTCCAAAAATATACAAAAGAAATACGCATTACAGAGGTGGTCTCAGGCATTTAGCTTATGACACACGGTTTTATGGCACCTTTCAGGCAACATCCTAAATCTGCCTGCAAAATTTTGGTCATAAGCTGTACAATAGAGAAAGATAGAGAAACATGGAAAATAAGTTTTTTAAATCCAGTTTTTCATTATCACATTAAGCATAATGAAATTTTCTTTATCTAAGCTAAAAATGTACAAATTACAAGAGTATTGGACTAGGGGACATGATCAGGAATAATAGAACATGCCCTGAGAAGGCATGGTGGGTTTGTGCTGTACTTAAGCAAAGACCCACATTAGCTCTTACATACTTCTGCACAAGCTGCCTTGCTATGGTGACTGCCATGGATGTAGAGTAAGTGAGATCACAGGTGAGACTGAGTTGCCTGTGTATCTGTCTGATTTGGAATTTTCTTTCTCTTTACACTTCTCCAGTGTAAGGCTTAAGTATTTTCAGAATTTCATCTTATATTTTCCTTACTGAGGATTGTCTTGATTTTTCAAATTCTGCAGAGTAGTCTCTCTGAAATTCTGAAATAACCTGTCTTTGTTTTCAGAATGTGTTAGAAAACTCAGGTGTTCCAAATTCACAGAGCAATTTTTTTCTCATAGTTCTCAATAGACACTGGCTGATTAATCTTTCCACTTTTTACAGTGCTACCTGTTGTGTGTTACAGTGAATTAGTGTTGCTTTAGTTAGATGCACCCATGTACCATTTTAATGGCACATTAAATGAGGACATTGAATTCTGTGAGACCACTCATGTGAATAATTGCTCAAAGGCTCATTGTCTGACCCTGAATTAATGAATTACAGTTATGTATTAGTAGAATCAGAGAAGTGAAAACAAGAACATTCCTCCATCTCTCATTAAAATAATTACAGCTTCTGAAGCTGTAATTCTGGATTAACTGGCTTTTATTGTGTTTGGACCCAAATTTATAATTTCATAAAACTGTCTGGTCTTGGGTGGCAACTTAGGAATTGTTTAAACTAGGGAATTCTCTGTCAGTGTTTCTGTTTCTCTTCACAGTACACTAATGGCAGAAACCTACTTTTTATAACAGTTTTTTAGAAGTTCAGTTAAAATATAAGACCAGGTCCTCCCTATATACCAAAGGTCTTGTTTCCTCTGAAAGTATAACCCCCCATGAAGATGACACTAATTTAAAGCCATTTTTCTTTGTTGTAATAATTATTTTCATGAAACTTTTATTAACAGACAGCAGCATATTTATCTATATTATAAGAAATTAATTTTTTCTCCAAGTATCGGATTAACATATCGGAGCAACATGTTTATTCCCAACCTTATATCAATCATTAGAAAAATGAGAGAAAGAATATATGAGTGAGTTTTAGAAGTGAACTAATGCTATGTGTGTCAGCTATGGTGACAGACATTTGAAAAGCAAATACTTTCCATTTTTATCAGAATTTCATTTGTATTCAAAATCCTTACAGTCTATTCAGTATTTGGTAGTGAATTTAAAGTTTATTACTTTCAAATGTTCAGAACATAGTAAATTTAGATATTTAGGTTAATGTAAAGTGTATATTACACCATTGTCGAAAGTTTAGGGAAAGTAGTAAAAAGCTGTGCTCTACATTGCTTTTAGTATCTGAAAAAGAGAAATTTAAGAAACATGCTGTATTGAGGCAGATGTGGAGAGCATTAGTCACAATAAAGAGAAACAGAAAAGGGCAGAGTTAAAAAATAGGATCTCTACTTTTCTGTGTGTGACTTTGTGAACCACTTCTTGGTATTAAATGTTGTTTTGTTTTGATAGTATGCATATACAGTCCTAGGACTCACCAGAAAACCCAGTAATCTAACAAGCACAATGGAGATCTGTATGAAAACAATTGGCCCTTTACCAGTACTTTCATTCAGAAATAACTGTTGCAGCCCAGATAATCACTGTACAACTGTGATAATGTCCTCTGCTTGACATGCAGTCCACTAAAACTTACATCAACAACATTAGGAGATTGACTGGCTAGGAATGAGAATTAATTGAGAGGATATTAATGTTTTGCAAGGGCACAGCCCTCTCTTGCACAGTACTGAGTACTTTAGCAACCTGGTCTGGTGGGCGATGTCTCTGCCCGTGGCAGGAAGGGTAGGAACTATATGATCTTTAAGGTCCATACCAACCCCTTAGCATTTTGTGTTTGTATGATTTATTTGTAATATTTTATTTAATTATCTAATTGAATGAGCTTGCTATCAGGAATGTTTCCTGAAATCAATGGCTTCTATCCAGTAGAAAGAGGATATTGTTATTATACATGGATAAATGCACCATAAGAGTGATCTGAAGAATTATTCTCAGTCAGGAAGCAGAACAGCCTTGGTAGTCTGAGACAAAGGTGGTGCATAGATCACTCAAAAAAAGTTATTTAAAAAAAAACTCTACAAAATGTTTTCCAAAAAATTATTATTTTCTTTAAAGGAAATAAATAATTGGAGATTTGAAACAGCATTAATTCCTCCAAAGTTCCAGCTCTAACTGCATACTGAAGTCATTATGGTGACATGGGTGCTTTGAAATTTGCATCACCTCAAATATTTAGAGCTGCCACAAACAGTTGGGAACTTTATCTATTTGTGAAGCTAACCAAATTTCTTCAGTCCTTATTTGCATCTGACTTGATATATGTGGTATTTATATGCTGTGAAAGGAAGGATTCAATTACTAACAGAGGAAGGAAGCAAAAGTCCCTGAGCATGCTGAAAGGCAGGGGTTGTGCCAGCCATGAGCTGGGGGGCCCACTGGGCAGGCAGAAGGGTGGCAGAGAGGGCAGCACAATGCTGTGCAAGGGTGATGCCTTGCAGTGAGTCAACTCTTGAGGGATCCTGTGAGGCTTCACTGCTTCACTTTCATGACTTCATTTCATACACTTATAGTTCACTATTTCACCAAGATTGGGAGCTACTGTCTGCTTCCAGTCCACTTGGGAATCAAGTCAGTGGGATTGCTTCACTTCTGTCATTCCTGCAGGAAAAGTCGCAAAGAAAATCTTCAATTGCCCTGCGGCTTTCTAGTATTTGTTTTGCTCCTCTGGTACTTGAAAAAAGTCTTGTGTTGTACAGGCATGGAGTAGAAGTTAGATCAGGACAGGACAGGATAGATGTTTTCCTTCTTTAATTTTTATGATTCTATTAACTACAGCTGGTATAAAGTCCCGGTAAATCTGTTAACTGTACCTTTGATTTTATGAAGACACTATTTATTGGTAAAAGCATAGTTCACTCAGTCTGCAAATCTCACTGCCATTACAAGGTCTTTGAGGTCACAGTTACTCATCATGGCATTAATAATTTGTATTTGTATTAATTTGTCAAA